TTGTTATTGCCAATTTGTTTTTCGCTAGTATGCTTCATGCATCATGATGTACATGGCCATAGAACTGAAAATAGGTGGCAAAAAAAACAAAACAAATCTAGTGATATAATTTAATTATATCACTAGATTTGTTATCTACCATATACTTAATAAGTATATATGATAGGTAAGATAATCTTCTTCTTTTTTTATTGTAACCCTTAAATGTATACAGGTCATATATTTATAATTGTTACAGAGGTCCCAACTCTCTTACAAGTCATTTCCCAACCAGACCCTGACATAATGTGTGGTGTTGTGCAAATGTAAATTTTGAGAAGAAAGTAAAGAAATTCTCCTAGAATTCTTACCTATTTAACACTACCTATTTGCCACAACTTGGACAAAATAATAATGTTAATCTTTTATATAATGCTTAAAAATCTAGATAAGACTTCTGTGGACAAAACACATTATAATACATCTTGGTATAGCTTAAAGTGGCTAACAATTGCAGAGTCTCTCTAGGAGCCGGGGGTTAACCTGCTGGACCCTAGGAGGGCTGGACCCCACTAGCCTCCACTGAAATTGTTCAAACCCTGTGTAAGATATCTTAGTTACTCCTAAATCCTAGAGCCCAACACTGGTTAGCATTCTATTCACCTGATAACTATGGTATGAGGAAATAAATTTATTTTACATTCTTTTTAAATATGGTGTAATCTGAATAAGAAAAATACATACTACTTAGGAGTATAGTAACATATATCTGGAAATATATAATTTTAAATTTTGTTGTGGTATCAGCGAACCATTGTTCTGTTAAGTCGGGCACTCATTGCGGCCAACGATCATCTGGCCGATGCGGTTCTATGGAGAACGGAACGCCGTGATGCCTGCGCAAAGGATTGTTTTTAATGACAATTTTTTCAGACTGCCACCAACAATCAGCAGATAGTATTGTGTCATCTAGCGGAGTTCGTTGGCCGACCGTCGTACGACCATCGTACAAAGTAGCGAGTGCCTGGCTTTAGTGTTATGGTTAGTTGGTTAACTGTTCCCCCTTCAATCCCAAATTCCTAGGTTCAATCTTGGCTGGTAAAATACGAAAAATCTGGACCCATTTTCTTAAATGTTACATATTTTAAGCTAAGTATGAGAAATCTGGACCCCTTTTTAAAAAAGTGAACCCATTTTATGCATAAAATTACATAATTTGGACCCATTTTTAAAAAGTGGACCCATTCTTTGTGGACTCATAATAAAAATTATGTGGACTGTCCCAACTGTCCTAATAGCTGGCTACGGTGTTGCAAATTTTGCTTGTGTCCCTGTACAAGCTTCACCTACGGTTGTCTCTCTCCTCTGAGAATACATTAGTAGGTAACTGGGCCTAACACTAATGCACTAATTACTGGCTACAACGTGGAATTTTTCTCCCAGGGAGCTGAGTATGTGTTCAATAGGTGGTTAATCCAATATCCAGGGCAATACTATAAAAAACATAGAGGCATGATGTGCTATTTACAACTGACATATTATATACAAGTAGGCCTATTACATGTTTTGGAACTAATATAATTGCAAACAATGAGTAAATATATGTGTTAGTGATTCAAAGAAATGTGCCCATATAGAAAATGTGGAACGCTTTTAGATACAAGCACACACCTTGTTGGGCAAGAACAATGCATAGTAGATTCCATGATTCAAGTTTTTGTTACCTCTGGCTTGTTCATATGAATAAGATAAGATTATGAGCATTGTTGTTGTTTTTATAACCACCGAGGCCTTTCACCGTTGTTATTCCACCTTTCATCTACAGATGAATAGCTTTTGTTCCCAAATTTTAATATTGAGTAACTGTATAATTGGTTTGGGACTTGGTCGGCCATAGATAATTCTGCGGGGGAGAGGGGGGGGGGGGAGGTGGGGATTGATGATTAGGTGAGGGGGACTAGCTCACAAAATAAGGTGATTTTTTAGCTTCAAACATTTTCTGTTGCAGGGGGGGGGGGGGGTGTGGAGGGGAACTGGGCGAACAAGTATTTTTGGAGGAACTTGTCTCCCACATCACCCTAGATATACCACTGTACATCAGCACCTAATTTTATTTTAATGTACGTTTAATTTCATTTTCAATGTAATGTAAGTGACAAGAAAACCAGAAAATTCAATTTTGAAATTAACTAGCTCATTATGATCTAACAGAAATGAGTGTATTTAAATTTTTTTAAAATAAAAATTCAGGGGAAAATACATTGTTAAGGCCATCAATATATCAAATCATGATCATCTCCAATGATTTTCTCTTCTTCAATTTATATCCCTCTTTCCTTTAACTTCTATCACTCCTTCCTTCAACTTTTACATTTGAACATCTTCTCTACACCTTATCCCCATTAGTGAGTGTCCTCCAACAAAAACATTTGTGTACATTTTCTCCTCTGTCCAATATTATAAGTTTCACATGATCACATTTCCATAAAATTATTAATTTTTATGTTTCAAGTGTACTTTGTGTTTCTGTGTATTCTAAATCCTCACATTTTCCTGTGTTTTCCTCTATGTGTCTATTCATTTCATTCTCTTTCCCCTTCCATTTATCTCATAAAATGTCCGCAAATGCAAATATTTTCAACTCTGTCAATTTACATGGCATTTATTATTCCTTTCTCAATCATATAACGGTATTAAAACAAGACATTTTAAATTCAACGTCGCCCTTTGAATATCAATTAATATTAATATTCATAATTACTGTCTTCTGTATTACCTGATGTTTTTTTATTATCAAGAATAATCATAAATGATTTATCAAATTCAATTTCTTTCAAAATAGCCATCACAACTAATAAACAAAGTGAGAACAGAGATTTTAATATATAACAATAATCATAATTTTATTTTCTTTTCCATTACAATCAAAATGCTGTTCAATATTAGCAGTTGCTTGAAATGATTCTTGCTATTGAAATAGTGAAAAACAGAGCGAGAACAAATGGCCTTCTTAATTTGCATTTTATGGGAATTTTTGGTCCAGCCCACATCTTCTCTGCTTCTGTACAATATTGGGACTGGCACAGTACCTATTTGCTGAGGCATCACTAGGCTTGAATTACATCGTTAGGTCAACATAGCCCCTCAGCTTAAACTGCCTCGAGTATAGACCCCCTTTAGACTTCAACTGTAGGCCTAACAGAACTATCCATTAATATTTTGACAGAAGTCTTAGTTGTTATTGTAGCTAACAAGGGGGTTTCTATAGTTAGGTCGAACCCCTTTTTCGAGCAAAACACTCTGATAAAAAAAAAACCCATCCGAATGATGATTAAATTCATCATTGACGTGCTCAAATGTTTCAGCTTGTGGTTTACGCCCTGACCTCTACAACAGCTTTTTTCTAGGACCTTGGTTCCTCTCGGAATTATGGTTCCCACAGGAAACCCTATCCCTTACTTAAGTAATCCCGGTTATTAGCCTGGAGTAGTTTGGATAGAAGAGTGTCCAATACTACAAAATAGTTCTAGGTCCACCATCGGATATGCGCTATTCTTTATTTAAAAAGAATTATTTTATTACTTAATAACAAAGAATTTTTTTTAAATGACAGACGTAAAAAGTTTCAAGGACATGAGAAACCTAACTACCATGTGGTAGATATTAGGCAGTAATTAGTTTATTTTGTGGAAGCTTTTGAAGCCTTTGAATCAGCGGCACTCAACAAAGCGTTCAGAAAATTTATTGCTTAACTAACACAACACAACTTGGAATATAACGGTGATATAAATTAATAACTCCATGATAATTCAGAAGTTTAAAATAACACAAAGTAAACTCACAGTTTTAACCAAGTCTTAGTATAGTATGTGTAGGTCAGGAGGCTTTCAGTTAATAAAGAAAATGCTTCCATAATATTTCTTTTTTTTAGAGTGGTGTTTTCCAAGTTACCCTAACGACAGATACAGATTTGTGTTCTAGCAAACAATTGTTGATCATCCCTATCTCACTTGTTATGTTAGCTTTATCAAGGAGGTATGAAAATAATTTATGTTGTCCATGATAAATCAGTTCAATGATGCAGAATATCAAGGCAAGATGCATTGCCGCGATTCTTATTAAAGAGAGGCACTAATTTGAAAGAAGTGTTTATTTACCTTAATTACTCTGGTATAAGCCTGCCCCCTACATGATGCTCTATTTTACGCACCTGCCTTTCCTCGGGTGAAAGACCAGGATATGACTTTTAGAAATATATTTTAAATGAAAAATATCTAATATGGTAGTCCAAAAGGCAGTGAATTAGGCATAAATTCAAAAGAGGATTGCTAATTTTGTGTTCAAGTGGTGTGGACATGAGGAAATCTAGTAATTCTTTACGCTAACTTCTTGGAATACCCAATTGATACAAAATTTAATGAGCATCTGCGAATAAAACTAAGTAGACTCTGTATATCTGTCATTTCCTGTTTACACCATTGAGTGCGTCTTTTAGGAAATAATTTGATTAACACCATTATCTTAAGTACACCACTACTGCACATAAATAAACAAAGTTAATTACTGTTTATGAAGTAACAAAAGAACGAATAGATATTGGCTATGTTCTCACACGGCTGCTAACGGTTAGCAGGATCCGGATCCTGCTAAACGTTAGCTGCCGTGCGTCATCCGAGAAAATCCCGATCCAGATACCAAAAATATGATGATCGAATCACTGGCCAATAAGAAACAGGAAATTGTAAACACGTAGGTGTGATTGGTTGATGATAGAAACGCGTTCAACTTGCTAACCGTTAGCGGTATCCGGATACTGCTAACGGTTAGCACTAACCGATCAGGTGTTCTCGCGCAGGTGCTAACGGTTAGCTCCCGGATACTAGGGCTCTCGTGAGAACCAGGCTATAATTCTCTTTCTTTTTTAAAGCTCTGTCCACACTACAAAATTTTCTTTGACAAAAACTGTTGTATGCCCATATATAGTCATGATATGCCTATATATAGTCATGATGTGCCTATATATGGTCATGATGTGCCTATATATGGTCATGATGTGCCTATATATGGTCATGATGTGATGTTATCATGATGATATTTAGGTATGTCACATCTTTTTGTCAAATCAAATTTGATAGTGTGGACAGGACTTTAGTCTGAAGAATCAAGGAGTAAACTTTACTCCATAGTGCAAAATATTAAGGCTTGGTTCTCACGAGAGCCCTAGTATCCGGATCGGGAGCTAATCGTGCCAAGACCTTGATTATTGAAGAACTTAAAAAGGCCATTAAAAAACACCCCAGAAGTCGGGAAAGCTTATTTCCGGCCATCTAGGAATCAAAATTTTGCCGGTGGAGGTCCCCTTTTTTAATTTTTTTTTTTTTTAAACATTTTGAACCCCACCCTTTCAAATCCTTGATCCGCGCCAGTATAGGAACATCATGACTACTGTATACAACAGTTTTTTGTCAAATAAAATGTTAATAGTCTAGTGGGCAGGGCTTTCTAAAAATAAAATCTAGGAAATCTTTATTCACTTTACGAATAAAATAAATTTTGTGAAATTGTCAACAAACTTGTAATGGCAGAAAGCTTTATTTTGAGGGACGGATCCAGTAGGGTGGGGGGGGGGCACATGCCCGTCTGTTTTAACATTTTAAAAATTTCAATGCATATCAGTACTGTGTTACTCACTTACCTATTCTGAAGTTGTGCTCCCCCATTTTTAAAATTCTGGATCCGCCCCTGTTATATAACTGTTTAATTGAGCATGATAATATGTAAAAATTATTTGATTTAAAAAAAAAAAGTAATAGTGTAGGCATCTCTACACTGTGTTGCCCATGATGTTTGCTGCCACCAATTTTCCATAATGCTCTGGTCTGAATCTCTGCAAGAACTCTTCCACCTTACCTATAACTCGTTCTGAGGTTGAAAAATCTGGGGGAGAAAATGGACAAAGACCTAAGATGAGTTTTAAATGTCAAACACTAACTTGAACATTAAAAGACATTTTAAAATGTTCAAAATTACCGAGTACTACATGGACGACAATGTCATATTAAAGTTTTAATTTATAATTATGAGGTAAAAAAAAAAAAAGGAAAAAGAAAATTGGCTAGTGTTCAAATTAACTAGGTTTTCTGGCAAATAATGTTTAAAGCTATTTCTATATTTAAAAAAAAAAAAAATAATTACTTGCAGTTATTATTATTAATAATTAGTTTAAAAAATGATCAGAGAAAAAATTAATTGTGTTAAATACTAAACAATGTTTTTTTCATATCTATAGAATTACTGTATGCAACTAATATATTTATATTTTGTTTGTATAGAGGTTGGAATGAGATGCCAAACTAAAAGCTGAAAAAACAGATCCAGTTTGATAATCAGTCTGCTTTGCTATAGTATTGCTTTTTAATACCTAGATAAACTTGGGCTTAATTTTCTTTTTTTCCTTTCAACATATCAGGTTTTCAAATTCTCGCAAATGTTTTAATGATTAAGAGAATATCTTGATATGAAATTACCAATCTGTTTTCATCTTTTATATTACAGGGTTTTGTATGACATAAAAAGTATACACGCTAACGTAGAGGTAATATTCTTTAGGTTATTTCTTTATCACTCTCATTATTCAATAGCATGGGCCTACTTCAATTTGCCATCAGAAAAACACTGGCTTAAAACGTCGAGCCGTCAAAATATAAAATAAAGCCAGTGATATCTGTCTATGATTTCTTATTTCCATTTAAGCCGAGTGTTTACGGTAGCTTTTTACCGTTAACCTGTGATGGAGTGAGTGGATGCGATGCGGCTTTAATTTAAATGAGGTGGGTTTGGCCTGTTGGAGTTGAATTTTGAGCTGTACTCTAATTTTAAACTGTTATTAAACAAACAAGAAAAAGTAAGCATCGGCCATTTCTAGCGCAGTACATGATAAAACTATAATGAGTATGTGACAGACGAATTCAAAATGTTTGCCTCTGGTAATTCAATCATTATTAAAATACTGGTTCCCTCTCGGCAGATCTGACTTTCAGCAAACCACTTACCACATTAACTGTAGACACTACGCAAGAATGTAGAGTCAAATTAAAGGTATTATTAGAAAACATAAACCAGGCGTAACCAACCTTGGCCTAGTGGCCTAGCCAATTCTATCATTTTTATCTTCTTTCTTGAAAAATAGGATGTTTAAGGACAGTTCCAGGATATTAGAAACATGGAACACAATGTCAGGGCCAAATGTTTACCCCCCTATGTTTCTACCATTGATGTTGCTTTATGATTGTGGCTTTTTTTTTTAGATGGCAAAAAACACCAAAAAGTTTCTCTCCAGAGTGGTGGGACTTTCCCAATGATGTAATCGTGTTTGATTGACCAGAGCATCTGTCTCATGGAGTCCGAGTTGAAATGCATTTAATAACATGTTCTTTTATCAAAGCATTCACTATTATGTTATACTTGAGCAGATATATGGCACAAATGAAGTAGTGCCCACTGCCCTATATAAAATGGTGTAGGTACAATCTTCAGCTATTGCAAACTACTAAACGGCATACAAGTTCATGATGCTGTATGAAAATTGATATTAGATTAGATATATCTTGGTTTATTCATGCAAAATGTTAGTGCAGTAATATTCCAGTGATTTGGGGCATTGAGTATGGTACAAGAAGAGTATAATTAACATTCAAAATCACATGTGTCAAAATTTACAATTTAACTAAAACTAACACATGATAAAATAACACATTTTATTTTTGGTACATGTCATCCTCAATACTTTTAACACATTGAAAATAGGAAATTTAGTGTGAGATCAAGGATAAAACTTAAGTCCTTTGGGGGTATGTGTTTTTTTTCTAAAAGGGTCTATAAGAAATATGTGTAATATGTGTAACACAATAAGAACATTGTAAGAATAACTAGGAGAATAATAACTATATAATGTTTTTATAATCTTCAGAAAAAATGTTTAATCAGTGCATAATGTATTCAGGATTACAACCAATTTGAAAGATATTATCAATGATACTTTAAAAGTAGTTTTTGTTTCCAGTTCTATGAACACAAGTTGTATAATTATGTCATTCTTTCAACTCTTATTTTTTTTTGTATATCAATTATACTTTGAGGAAAAGTCTATTTTTGGTTTTTCTAAAGATAATTTTACTTTAAATAGGTGAGATGATAGCATAGTTTATAACATCTCACCTTACACACAATGTTTTAGAACAAGGTATAAACTAATATTATTGAGTATCACCATAAATTTAAGTTAAGAATTGGATATTGAACAATCCGTTTTATGAAAATATTCCTGTCATGGATATATCGTTTTTGTTTTCATTTCTCATATGTTAATGTTAGAGGTTATTTGTGTAATTATATAATTATGGTTGGTGTTGTGCAGTTTGTCTATGCAATAAGGAAAAACAATCTCATGACAGAATCAAATGCATGTTAAATGATCGAATGAGCACCTTGAATAAGCATAAGTCTCAAATGTTATAAGCTGCGTGGTACTTATTTAATAATTTACAGTATTTAAAAGGACTGCACTTATGCATTTGTATCGTTCTTGTTTTCAATATTAATTACTTATTATTTATCTTGTATTTCATAATTAATGTATGCTTATGTATTATGTAAAATATGTGTACTATATTAACTTTGCTAAACATATAACTAGAATGAAAGTGTTATCATTATACAGTATGCTGCAATCAATAAAATAATCATACCAGCAAATTGTCTATGGTCAAAACCTATGATTTTTAACCTTATAAATTTAATTAAGTTATAATATATTTTATATTTTTCTATATCATCTAATAATAAATAATTAAATACAGTAATTATCTTATTTTGTAATTCAAAAATATATATATATATTTCCCTGTTTTCTTGTATCCTTGATTGAGAGGTTATTTGTTCAAGGGGGGATGTAGACAGAGGTGCTTGTCACCTGTTCATCCCTTCCTTTTCGCTGCTGTCCGTTGTGTTTTTCTTCTTTGTGCAGTGATGAAGCGTAATAAATAAATAAAAAGTCAATTTGTAAAACAAGGGATGGATTGTGATCTTAGTAATTTATTTTCTTTTCTTCTTTACAGTGGGTAACCTGTTCAATAGAAACCTATTCACCCACAGGGCCCAGGTATGGCCCGGGCGCTTAAAATATTTTTTGCCCTTTTTGAGAGGCGCTTATTCAAACTGGGCGCTTATGAAAACAGAGTGGAAATTGAGGGTGCTTATGGAAATATATGAAAATTGAGGGGTTCTTATGGGAACTTGGAAAATCCAAGTTCCCATTGAACTTGAAAAACAAATAACATTATATAAGGAAATCCGAAAACCAAAGATTACTTGTGACAAGAATTCTGTGTGTTTCAACATCAGATGAAATTGGTGGTGGTGGTGGTGGTGCAAGCTTGTTGGCCATCTGCTGCTCATTGAGATTAGCATGATCATTGCAAGGCTTCTTGCAAACTCACATGAAAATGTGCTAAAGGTGCAAATAATTGGGAAAAGAAAAAGAGAAGTAGACAAATGCAAGAAGAGGAAATTTGGAATGATACTGTCCAGGGAGGTCGAGCTCTCATCTGTGCAGGATAAAATATCCTCATCTTGAAATTAACATCAGAAGAAAATGTGAATCCACTCTACAGCTCAAATCATGCCAACCAATCTCAGGATTAGTTAGATTATCGTTCGCTAAAAAAATCAATCACAATGTATTGTTTTAAAAAATGAATAAACACCGAGGGGCGCTTATTCAAATGAGGCGCTTAAGACAATTTTTTAATGTTAGGAGGGGTGTCTCTCTCCACCCAGGAGTACAAGTGGGTACCTGGTAGGTTCAAACTCAGCCTGCGCTGAATACAGCTGCAACATTATGGAATTCCCCCATGTGGCCTGAGTGTGTGTTCCATATGTGCTTGATCCAGTGATCCGCGGGGTAATAATGTAAGCGCATAGAGGTCTCTACAATATGCGCATCATAGTGTGGGCAGAGCTTAAGACCTACTGCTGTCGTGTATCTGACTATTGAACTTTACTTGTGATAGGGTCTCGAGCGAGGTCCTAAAGCCACTCTCACACTTTCACAACCTAACTTGCGATTGGTACATGACCTACAACGACCAGTATTGTGGTGGCCAGGTCGTGATAGTGTGAGAGCTGCTAAGAGCAACTTGCTCGTGACAGGGGAGATGGTCTTAGAGAGAGCAGCTTAGGTCAGTCGGCTAATCTGGTGGTAGCCACTGTGTGTGCGCGGAACCATGAAGATCTGTAGGTCCCCGGTTCAATTCCCATCGCTACCTCTCCTTGTGTTTTAGCTAGAGGGCTGAAATACAAGTTACAATAGCACATCGTCTTTCGGATGAGACATTTAAGCCGTTGGTCCTGTGTGCATTATGGCCCATGTGCACGTTAAAGAACGCAGTACACTCTTCGGAAAAGAGTAGGGGATTGTCTCCCGGTGTACTGCCCAATCACCACCAGAAGGACCCCAGTGGAAATAAGTCTTCTTCTAGACTTTCGTGGGCTATCCTTGGTGTTTACACCGAACAAATCCAATCCAAAGCCTTTGATGGCTGCAGTTTTTCAACGTCGCCAGTCTGATCGTAGTAATTCTCACATGTGTCATAGTCATTTGGCAGAGAACCGAGTCCTAACGATGTGCTTCCAAACTATTAAAGGTGTTTTCATGCATATTAAATGAAACAAGGTAAAATGTTCATGCTGGTGGTCATTCCATGACGTACGATTGCAGGGCTACATACGTTGAGATAGTGCGAGAGGGGCTACAATCAGAGGCCAGGTCCTACTTCCAGTCGCAATAATGTAATAGGTACTTAAGGGCATACTCTATTACTTTTTTACCTCACACACCCACATTTTTTCATCCATCAATAAAATTTTATTTTTATTCTACCCTCTGGCTAGATGTATTTGTTAGAACCATTTTGCTCTTTTTTTTTTTCACCATCCTTTGATATCTTCTAAAAATAAAATTAACCGAACAAGGTATAAAAAAAATTTTGCAATGCAATTTCTAGGGTTTAAAATGAATGACTAAATCCCTTGCTCTTAAATTAGGGCCCCTGAAAACCTAGCAAGCTCTGATGAAAATACAAATACATGTAGTGTCAAAACTCATAACAATATCGTGCTTGCTTTAACACCCTATAAACATATCAGAGCAATATTCAAAGTTACATAACAAGAAAGCTATAAATTCAAAACTACATTATGCATATATTTTTTATGTACTTTTCTATATTATAAAATTCACTCTATATGAGAAATTACTTTTTATCTGTTTTATTATAATGTTCATTCAAAAATAGGGTTCATGTCTAGAGAGTTTTATTTTTTGTATGAGGGATTTTTTTTCTTCTGAAAAATGGCAGTGGATGGATTTGCTAACAGGGACCTAAGCTGTCCGACAGGGGGCTGACAATTTCCAAGAGACCAACCAAGTTTAGGAACAAACCCCTGGTGGAGCCCAAGCCCCTTGTGATTAGATAAACTGTACAGATTTGGGCCATTTGAATCCGAGACGATTTTAAGCACACATTATGAAAAAGTGAAAAGAGACAGCTCCAAATTAAGATGTTCAGGAGGGATGAGGAACATGTTCTTAATCTTTTTCTTTCTTGCAATTATTTTTGACTACATTATTTATTGGAATGTTTGAGCTTTATGCCGTGGACTTTCTATACCTTATAAGTACCAAAATAAACTTGTTTGTGAAAAGTGATGATGTTTATTGTGTTTTGTGTCATTCAGTGGCAGATTGCAAGGGAACACACAGAACATATTGAAATCTCCAACACTGCTTTCATTCATACCTATTGATGATGCAAACTTGTCTACCTTTTCTACCATTAGATGTAGGCCAACACCGTCATCCCTTTGAATATCATCATTCATAAGCTCTATCTCACCAACTTCAAATCCAAAATCTGTCCTGTCAAAATCCACATGGAAATCATGGATTGTGTAACTTGTTCGATGTGTAGTAAACCGTGCAAACTCAGAAAGACATTGGCTGATTTCAACCATCGTTGCACCAGTTTCAGAACCGTTGGCAAGAATGGGAAAATTGTGCAATAAAGATGAAGCGATTTCCATGTCAGAATCTAGCTCCATGTACTGGCAGGTTAAGCTGGTGCAACGTTCCCGTGGGGGGATTTTAAGTTGCCATTTCCCATCCCTTTTTCTAAGCCATGTATCAGCTAAAGATAAGTCATAATTATTTGTATCGAAATACGCGTCTGTAAAGGTTACATGTTTTTTCAATACTGCTCCAGCCTTTATTAATTTGGTCTCACTGTCTTCATGAATTACAAACTTTCTCTCAATTTCTAAGGCCATTTTCTAGTAGTAGTTCTTGATGTAGATTGTGCATTTGTTACAATGAATGCTCTCAAAAGATTAATTCGGAAGGAACATGCACATATTTCTAGGCCTAGGCTGTAGAATAATTCAGTGTACCTCGAACGATCTGTCTTCAGTCAGTCTCGTTTCTGCTCTGCGTTGATGGCCTGGCCTAGCTTAGGCGCTTTAGCACAAATGCATCGTTTTCGTAGTGTGTTTTCAGATTCAAGTGTACTATAAATCAATCCTGTTTGTCTATCTACTGAACTAAGTATTTTTGGGAGGTAATATCATGTAAAACGCAATTGTCCCGGTGCGTTGTAAAAACGATTTCATTTGCTGTCGCGCCTTTACCGTTTGTTTACAACTTGTCTCTCTTCATGTGGCTTCCCCAATACGTCACTTCCTTTGGCCTTGACCAGAATTGCCAGACGCATTTGCATGTAGCTGTTTGCAAAAGTAATTAACACAGGGCTAAGATGATCCCGACTAGCGGATTCAATGCTTAACAGTTAACATGAAAGTTATGCAAATTTTCATCTTTCGCTTATATTAAAACTAGTTAGATGCCAACAATATTTCCATATCATTATGTTCTCACACTAAAGTTCAAATTAAGTTCATCGCCAGGACGCGCGACAAGAGATTATTGCAACTCACTCATAGGTTTTCTGAGGTCATTACAGCCACGTGATCTGTCTACGCTATTGACGTCGCGTAATATTTTGCGGCTATTTCAAGCGTGTTTTCTACGAAATAAATCTCTACCACCACTACAGTCAGTGAAGCTGAATGTTATTAGAAAATCACCACTCACTTCACTGTTGCTCTATCATGTGCATCATTTGAATCATACACCTAGGATACATACCAGTACGTAGTCGTAGGATAAAATGGGGTCTGGGGTAAAATTGGCTTTATGCAAATGAGTTTAGCACATCAGTGACTTTCGCTGGAGGAATTAACCTTGGTTTTCTGTTTCTGTCTCAGTGATGAGGATTTCCCGATCTCTCTTTACACCCCTCACTCAACTTCGAGCACTGCAACGGAATTACTTTGTATCATCAATCTTTGCTAAAGGTTTATATTTCTGTTAACCATTTGCTGGAATTATTGTTTTCTTATGGGCGGTGTTGTTTGCTAAAGTAAATATTTGACAGTGGGCATTAGTGGGTGAAAGAATATGTAAATTGTCTTACACCTATTACGCATGCCCATTGATTATCAGCGCTCTCTGCCATTTTGGAAATAATTAGCGAATTATGCCGTGCCTGACTGATTGGGCATGATTCGTTCGCTCTTTTCTCTTCGAAAACTTACCGAAGATCGCACTGATTACGCTCGAAACACCTCGTCGCTTGAAGAATACTTCCATATTTGCCAAGTGGAGAAGTTTCGTATTCCAGCGCTGTTTGGTTTTCGAGAAAATGTAAGTTTAATTCTAGTTCTCTGGAGGGTGAATGTTTTCCTTCTCCGTGGCTCAGGGAACTGCTAATTACCGGCGGCCTTAGCAGTCGATAATTAGGAGCGTTGCCTAGCTCAGGTTGGATCTTAAAACGTGTGAAGTGTGCATTGTTCTAGTCCAACATCCATCCAGGTAGTCGAGATTAAATTTGCATCCTAAATTTTTGTGGGAAAGTTGGTCTCCAAAACTTTTGCATAAGTTTTGTTTAGTTTGTTGTTTTTACCTGGCTCGCAAAGTTGTCTGTCTCAGTCTGGCTAGCTAGCTGTGCACCCATGCGTTGGAATTACTACATACAACAGGTATAGCACTACATTCTGGAGTTGTAGTAGGAATTTATGGACCGTTAGTTGGCCCAGGGACCATTTAAAATTTTGGCTTTAGGTTTTATAGGTTTCTTTTATAATTTTTTTTCTGCCGAAATGTTTTATCTGTATGTTTTTTTTGCAAAATTTTTAAGTAAAGCTCTGCTAAACAATTGCGTAACTTGAATACAATGTTATCTTGTCAATTAGGATTATAAATAAATAACTGAAATCTAGCCCCAGCCTAACTAGGCTAGGCCTAGTGCTTGGTAAATTAAGTATTTTAGTGAATGTGCACATGCTTATTTTATTAAATGGGTAAAGGATGCAACCGTTTGTATTTTTGGTGGTAGAGAATGCTACTGTGTACTAGGTCAGACCTTGTGATGACTTCCAATCACTTTGTTTACTCTAACTTTGGCTCAGTCTAGGCCTAGACCAAGTTCTAGATCATTGACAAATTACATATTAAGGGTCATTTTTTATTCTTACATGTAAATGTATTTAAAGTGATCTTTTAATTTTCATATAACAGATTAGATTTTCATTAATATTCATATAATATTCAATAAGCAAATTAGTGAAGGTTGTATAATTTTCTACATTAGCTTATGTCTGTTGTTGGTGTTAGTGTATATGGACCAAATAGGTTTAGAAATGGAAACTATAAAGCAATTTTTATTTGTTTTTTTAATTGGTATCTTAATATTAAAATAACTTCTATCTAACTATTTATTTATTTGTATATTGTTTTTTTTTTAAACATGTAATAGTGTTAGTAGACCTGACTACCGTGATACAAAGTTATGATTATGATGATTAGTAGAATAATTATAATAATGTATGTAAATTAGACTGATTATTTTTATTGCATTGATTAGTAATTTAAAACGTGTTCCAGTTCAATTTGTTTTAATTACTATAAGGCCACATAGTATATTCCTGAAGTTGTGTGACGTGTTATAAGAAAATATTTAAAAGATACAATTTAATTTTATTTGGATACCAATGAGAAAATTAAATTCACATGTTGATATCTGGATAAATATATGATTATTCATATTGTCATGTATATTTTGAGTATTAAAATTAAGAATTCAGTAGTGGCGTTACAATATATAAGCTTTTTGATACCGTTTTGATGTAGATGTTCATATTATTGAACAGTTTTATCGGTCATATTGTCAAGGCCATCTACAATTTCCTTGGAAATGAATGTCAGTATGAGGCTGGCATCTTGAATGAATACAACTAGTACTTTATAGCACATGAATAGTTTGTTGAAAACCATTGGACAGAATCATAAATTATGCATGGATTTTAAAAGCATTAGCAATATGTAGATTTGACCTGATAAGGTCTCTTTATCCTGACATCAGGTTGTAGCCAGCTCTCACACTAATTTAACGACAAAATTTGATTTTCTCTTAATGGGAAGATTGTTCATCAAGGGAGGCATGTCGCAAACAGGTATTCATCTCTCGGGATGTCGCTCATGAATATAGCATTATGCAAGGAATTAAACAGAGAAATCATAAACATCTTGTAATGTCTTATGTAGTTTTATGTATTTTTATCTTCGATCTTGCATATCATCTTTAAATGATACTGGAAATGTGATAATAATCTCCACGTATCTCAATATAGAATTGTATGGTTTTTGCCAAATAGCTACACCCTTAAGATATGTCATATTTTTATTTTCTATTTATATATTTTATAAAGATTTTAGATAATTTAATCTGTTAATTTGGTTTTTATGTAATTCTATAATATGCCATCATGGGCCCTTATCCACTAAAATATATACAATATTGAGGCAAGTTACAAATATTCATAATTCTGTCAATTTATATCTAACAATTGTGTATTTCAGGTTTAGATGTAATTTTTACTCCTAATGATATTACTTGTGTTAATCAAGATTTCAAGATCTTTAAATAAGATATTTAAACTTTCCAAATGTTAATCAGATAAATAATGGCTACTATAGGTATGCTTATGTTGTATGTGTTTATTTCTAATCTGAAAATAAGTAGTTGTACCTTGAGTACAATTTTATATTTTTATTAATACTATTTTTTATTTTAAAATGGTACTGTATATCTGAACTACTGTATGTAGAGATGCTAGTTCATGTGTTCTGAACTTGCCTTTTTATGGTGTATTTTTTTTGTGATCCAGTTAAAAGTTGAATAAAACTTGTCAAAAATTGATAGAATTGGTTCATGATATAGTTTTATTATATTTATTTAGCTGTACCAGTATGTATTACTTTTTCTATTTAGTTGTAACATACTGTATACTGTATAGTTTTATCTTAGTATATGTACTGTACAGTATATAACTATGTAGTGTAGTATCTCTTTTTATTATCTATAGGCCTATAAATAATACCAGTATGTGTTATTTCTGTATAATCTTTAACTTAATGTTTCTATATTTTAGTAGTACATTATATTTTTATCTTTTATATATTTATTTATTCAACTGTTTAATATATGACATCTTATTATTGTCTATATTTATGTAATGATACTAGTATATGTTTAATAAACTATCATCTGTATAAATGTTTCTAAATTCCAGTTGTACATTATATTTTTATCTTCTATATATTTAGATTTTTTTCAGTGATACCAGTATGTATGTTTATGTCATTATTTTTCATCTTAAATTTTTTTTATTGAATTGTATATAGATAGGGTAGTGGCATTTCTGTATAGTATGTTACACACATCTATTGTAATTTGTATCTATATTTTTAAATCTTGTTTAATATATTTTGTACACCGAGTGGCTAATTTTAACACTTTTTTGCTTTTTCTACTGTATTTTCATTGAACTACAGCAGTTAATGTTTAGCTTGTAATTCATTGTGAAGGTTCAGTTTTTTGTTAGTCATCTTAATAGCTAAATGTACAATAATGATAGTTAATGAGTAATTAATTAATAATTAATTAAAATCAATTCACTACTTCTTGCCAAATAATATTGTTAAAATGTTATGTACAGTATATGTTTACAAGGTTGCTTAGATTTTAAAGGAATAGGATAAATTATAGTGTAAATTATTATTAATGCGTTTCAAATTTATTTTTAGATGGAATTCCAGAATCACTATGGTTATCAGCATCTTAAAAATTATTTCTCCTTAGTTGTGTATCTAAAATGTTGGTCTGAATTAGTCCGATTAAAGACATTTCATGATACTTTTGTTTATTCCTGAGTATTTTCTCTACTGTATTAAAAACAATAAACAAGTTTATTATTAAACTTTTTAATGATCGGTATTCCCTCTGAAGATGAATCCACAAGTTGCATCAAACCATTTCTGTGAAAATTTTGAATCAAATTTTGTTGTGTCACTGTTCAAATCAGGAAATCTCTGGTTTCTACATTTATAACTTTCCATGCCAATCAATTATAATGATCCATATTTTCATCAAAAAAATAATATCACTCTGCTTTGATTGGTCATCTTCTGAACATAAAAAAAATTGTTTAAAAACTATGCAAATTTAAATTAGAAGTAATTATAAATAATGTTAATAAAGTTCTCAAGAGTTAGGAAGTTATAATGTAAACATTATCTTAGGCATTGTTGAACAAATCCATTTGCGTTGGAACATAACTTAACACTGATCAGTTTCCTTGCCACTGGATTTTTGGTGTATAGTTAACAAGGCAGAAAATCATACTATGTTTCTGCACTCGGAATGCACCCTCTGGCTGATTATCACCTTTTGCAGTATCTTAGGCCTCCTGCTTTCAATTACTAGTCACTAAACACAACCCAGGATTTAACTAGAGCAAATTCTTTTTGACTTGTCTACTCTGTGAAAAGTGTGCTTAACAATGGCCGTGACTGATATGGTTTTTAACTTGTAAGACGTTCGTAAATAGCGTTTTGATGCCAGTATGTTTGCAGAGTACCCGAGGCGGTGAGTCCTCCTACCTTAAGTAAATTAGTTAAGCTGATTGTTTTGAGTTCTTGAAACACCCTGTCCGTGCCCCATTGGTTCTTAATAACCTTTTCATTGCAGTATGGGTACACAGGTCAAATGCTTTCTGTAGAAGATTACATCTGATGTGGCAAGTTAAAAATTATGACAATTAACTCACAGAATAATGGTTTTCACATATGCAAGTAATTGTTTCTAACATGTATCTGATTGGGCTGTGCACTTTTATTATTTATTCGGTTTTTTCCCGTCTTTTTATTTAAAACAATGTATTTTCTAGTGGGTAGTACTAGCAGACTTTAAACAAATTATATTTCTACAAATACTTGAATGGTGCCATATTGTTTTCTTTTTTGAAAAAGACATCAGTGCAAATATGTATTTTCACAGGCTGTATTTCAACTATAAGTTTGTTTAAATAGTAAGTATAAGGCCAAATAATTAAATCTGTTATTTTTATGTTTTTTAGGCCATTTAAAAAAAAATTCATACAGATCCAATCCTTATTAAAAAATAGTTAATGAAACTTTTGTGTGTTACTGTGGGCTGCCATGCATGGTGTAAGTAAGGTGAAAATAGACCTCATCTGTGCTATTCCTTCTCCCAAAAAGTATCAGGAAAAACATGTTAATTTGTTGGCTTTATTCATTCATTTGATTTAAATGATGTCGTTGAATTTTTTCTTGATGTTACTTCC